TTCTTCTCTTCAGCAGCAGCATGAAGGAGATCCAGAAAGTGCAGCAGCAACTGATGGAAAACTTCAAGTGCAAGAACCTTGGGGAGGTAAAGTACTACCTCGGGATGCACGTGGAGAGGGATCCAGATCACAGGTGGTTGAAGCTGCACCAGGAGAAGTTCATCAAGGAGCTGGGGGAGAAGTATGGGATTGAGAATGAGCGCAAGGTTGCAACTCCCCTGCCAGCAGAATTCAAGCTTGTGAAGGCTGCAGAGGATGAAGGGGTTGAAGCTGAAGAGCAGCAGCAATTTCAGTCCTTGGTGGGCAGCCTCTTGTACGCAGCAGTTCACACGAGGCCCGACATCTCTTTCTCGGTTGGGCAGCTGGCTAGGGTGGTGCAGAATCCATCAGAGGAGCAGGTGGATGCAGCTGAGCGTGTGGTGAAGTACCTGAACTCTCACCCAAGCATTGGAGTTCAATACTCCGCATCTGCACAGGTGAAGCAGAAAGGGGTGGAGGTGCTGAAAGAGAAGGGGGAGAGGCTTGGAGAAGGCAAGCTATTTCTCACTTGCTTTACCGATGCTACGTGGGCTTCTGAGAAGGAGGATTCCTCATCTGTGGGAGGATACATCTGCGTAGTTGGGGGAGGACCTGTTAGTTGGAGGTCCAAGAAGCAGACGGAGACGGCACTCTCTTCCGTAGAATCAGAGTACATGGCGATGTTCCATGGGGTGAAGGAGGTGATTTGGCTGAGGAGGCTGTTAGAGGAGATTGGCCAGGAGCAGAAAGTTGCTACGCCGCTGTTTTGTGATAGCAAGGGGGCTCTTGGGATGGCCAGAAACGCTGTGCTTCATGGGCTGAACAAGCACATGCGTATCAAGTGGCACTGGCTGCGTAAGGAGGTGAAGAGGGGGACGGTGCATCCGATCTACATCAAGACTCACCAGCAGCCAGCAGACTTTCTCACAAAGAGGCTTGCGGATGAGCCTCATTGGCGTTGTGTGCGCATGAGTGGAATGAGCATGAACTAGCATGGAATGACGGGGATGCAGCCGGCAGGCTGAGGGGGAGTGTGTTGGGTGCAAATGCACATTGCACGACATCCTGCCGTCTGTTTGTACGAGTATGCGTGTGCGAATGCATTTGCGTGTGAATGGTGTGTTCGTGTGTTTGTTTGCTTTCGCATTTTTCGCTTGATGCATTTGCAGGTACTCGCGCAATGTGCGCTTTGGCACAACATTGTATGCGCTATGAACAGTGCAAGCAGGAAGGACGAGCTCGCAAAGGAACCCAATATGGAAGCTTTGCAGTTCGGTTGAGTTGATTGCGCAGATTCAGTTCTATCCAACTCGGAATTGTACTGTTTTGTTTGGTTAACTATAGTGTAGCAGGGAAGGCACTATAGGGGTACAATTTAGGTGAAGGTTGGATGTTGTTTGTCTGTATCTGCATGCTACAAGGCCAGGGGAAACCAGCGGAACCAGCATTTGGCTGGTTGGGCAAAGACAAAACAGGTTCTGTTTTTAGAACCTGAACCTGGTTGTTGTTTTCCCAGGTTGGAAAAACAGAACCAGAGGTTGTTTACCAACCTACCACCTGCTATTTTGTCCAGCCAGGTTGGTTCTGTTGCTTGGAATTATTTGGGATCATCCCTGGTTGTTCCCAGGTTGATTCCCAAGGTCCTTGCTAGCTAGAACTATTTAATTGTTCTCTGTTTGTACCTGAATATAGTCAAATTGATTCAAGCGAATTCCTTCCTCGCTGGAATTTCGTTTCTGCGCTATTCGACGGCGGAATGCTACCCGAGTCAACGCTAGTATGCTAGCACTCCAACGCTAGGCAAACGCTGTCCGAGCCATAACTTAGTAATGGCAGAACTTTTCGCGAGGCAACTTGGCTCATTTTAAAGCTCTTGGAGCGAGCTTCGATATAGCGAATTCTCAGCTTAATCCGATCGACGGTCTGCACGGCACGCTGCGCGACGTTCAAGGTACTCTTGCTGTTTTGACTAAGTCCTTCTTGATCCCTCTCTCTACAAACTCGGACCCGAGGATAGGGGCTGGTTCTGTACCAGGCACCCAGGGACCCTTGGAGGTGACCCCGAGGAGAGGTTTTAAGTTTGATTAAGTCCTAATAGCTTGAGTTTATCCTAATAAACAGTATAACGGTATATAACACAGCACTAACTAGCAAGCAGTAATTGCCCAATCGTGTGCAACAACGCACTCAGCACTCACCTAAACTGCTTTCTTCCGATCACCGTCACTCTGTCTGATTTCCAGCTCAACATTCAACTTCAGATATTGTATCCTCTGCCGTTCATTACATCTTAGACTTAGGGCGTATTCCTATCCTCATATCAAGAATACCTCATATCAATTTTCTACTGAAATTTCCCCTAAACCCAAAACCTCTCGCTAGTTTTACCAGGCAAAAAGTACATTCTTGATATGAGGTTCCAATTAATACGAGGATAGGAATACGCTCTTAGGCAAGGATGAGATTGAGTATCGAGAGAGTTGGTACAAAAGGAAAAACCTAAGGGGTTATACCCCTCAGTATCTACCCCACTACAGCCTACCAATAACATTAACATATATATGTGTGACACACCCCCATAGGCAAAGTGAGGGAGAGAAAGAGGTCACAAGACCAGTCAAGAAAAGCAAAGCAAGCTCAGGGTGGATCACAACGTTACCACACACACTGCGCACAAGCAAAGGGCCACAAGGCCAGTTCACATGCATAAGTATAAATGCAACAAGAACAGTACAGTGATCTCTACCTAGCAAGAGCAAGCATGCAGGTATATATGTATATATAAAACACAGTACAAGCAGAGTCAATAGCAAGTGTGGAAACGTAGGCACAAGGCCTAACAAAGTACAGAAACATTGATGATCACCAAACGAGAGTGCCTTGGTGAATATATAAGCAGTGTTGGCCCGAGTAGCCACGTGAGCAAGACGAAGCTGACCTCGCTGCTGCAACTCTCGAGCCAGGAAGTAACGCAGAGCGATGTGCTTCGTTCTGTGCTCCTGACACAAGGCAATGGCGGCCTTGTTGTCGACGTACAGAACTGGAGGAGAACGAGGCATCTCTCCCAAGTCAGTCAGCAGGTAGGTGAGCCAGCGTAACTCCTATGCAGCCATGGCTGTGGCGTAGATCTCAGCCTCACAACTGGAGCTGAGAACAGAAGACGAGTGCGTGGACCGCCACAAAAAAGAGCCAGAGCCAAGGCTGAAGGTGTAACCCTATGACGACCGCTGCGTAGCCTGGTCATCAACCCAAGACGCGTCAGAGTGTCCAGTGAGGACAACGGCGCTCCGTCCTCCAAGCACGAGCCCCATGCCCGATGTACTGCACAAGTAGCGCAGTACCCTCTTTGCAGCATCCATGTGCACCTTTCGGTGCCGACCAGGAGCCACGTAGCGAGCCAAAAGGCTAAGAGGCTACGCGAGGTCAGGACGAGTGCAGGTCATCAGGAACATGAGGCAGCCCACAAGCTCTGCGTAAGGACCTCTGCGGACTCGTCCGAAGGTGGAGCTGAAAGCGAGTGACCTGTAGCCAGCGAAGTGGGCTGTGGGAAGGACCAGGTGAAGCCGAAGCGCTGAAGGACCTGCTGCACCATGTGTGACTGAGTCAGTATGATGGTGCGGCGTGCTCTGTCCCGGGTGATCTGCAAGCCAAGGTAACTGCGCAGCTCACCCAGGTCTGTGCACGTGTGTCTCTTCTGCAGCTCCGACTTCACCAGAGCAAGAGCCTCAGTGTCAGCAGTAGCAAAGACCAAGTCGTCGACGTACACGAGGATGTAGAACGGCGGCAGCGACGTGTCGGTGCGCAGAAACAACGACGGGTCAGCAGTCGAAGGAGCGAACCCAAGAGCCGCAAGTGTAGTCCTCAGTGTGTCGTGCCACTCACGAGGTGCCTGGCGGAGACCGTAGACTGGCCGCCGGAGGCTCTACTGGGTACCAGGAGGGAACGACCCAGTGAAGCCAGGAGGGCGGCGCAGCCAGATCTCCTCGTGCAGGCTGCCCTGTAAGAAGGCTGTGCTGAAGTCAAGAGAGTGAAGCTCGTAGTCACGCTGAGCGGCAACGTGCAGCAGCACCCGAAGAGTGGTCATCTTCGGGGTGGGGGAGAAGGTCTAGAAGAAGTCAACTCCCTCTCGCTGACTGAAGCCTCGAGCAACGTAACGAGCCTTGAAGACAGGCGGAGAACCCGGCGGCCGCTTCACCCTGAAAATCCACATGCCATCGACGATGTTCGCCCAAGGAGGGGGAACCTCATCGACGTAAGTGTCTCTGGACTTCCAGGATGCCATCTCTGCGTCCATGGCTGTCTGCCACTGAGAGGAGTACTCACCCGCGATCGCCTCAGCGTAAGAGCGCGGGGTCGGGATGTCTGGTGCATCCGGGTCTCCCTCAGGGGCAAGCAGCATGGCCACGAGATGAGGCGCAGCGGCTGCAAGACACTCAAGGTCCTCGTGCCTGTCTGCAAGGACGTCCGTGCTAAGAGCACACTCACCCCCGACCGCCGGAGGACGCACAGACTCAAACTCAGTAACAAGACTAGCGTCGTAGTCTAGACGACAGGCAGCAGCAAATTCAACAAGCTCAGCAACCAAGGCAGACGCAGCAGCAGACTCAAACGACGGGTCAGTGACAACAGTGGCTAACAGACGCGTGACAGTAGGGTGCTCAGCACGAAACCGGTCAGACTCAGGGTCCAGAACGTCAGGCAGAGAGGACGCAGGGGGAGACGGCAGAGGAACAGGCTGCAGAGCAGAGGAAGGACGACGGACTACGAGGTGTGTGCTGGGGACAGCCGGCTGACGCGAACGAGGAACACGATGACCAGAACGACCAGGACGAACAGGCGAAACAGGACGCGACGCAGGCTCACGACGCTCAGCAAGACCACCGGGCTGCTCAGTGTAAGGAGGAGGAGCAGGGAGCGGTGAGCCAGGCAGTAACGGAAGACCAGTAGACGACGGGAGGGTAAGAACCTAATGGAGAACAGAGTCAGGCGGCGGCAGAGACGACGGAGACGGCGGAGCGAAGAACAGTACCTCCAGCAGCTCCAGCACCTCCAGCAGCTCCAGAACCTCCAGCCCCAGAACCGGCACCTCCAGCCCCAGGGTCTCCAGCCGCAGTTTCTCCACCAGCAGTACCCCCAGAACCAGCACCTCCAGTCCCAGGGTCTCCAGCCTCAGTGTCTCCAGCAGCGGCACCCCCAGATGCAGCACCCCCAGCCCCAGCAGCTCCAGTACCTCCAGTACGAGCACCTCCGGGACCAGCGACTCCAGCACCTCCAGTAGACAAAGTACCAGCACCACTCCTAGCTCCAGGGACGTCAGCAGAAGTTCCCCCAGCAGCAGATCCCCGGGCTCCAGCAGCGCGACCCTGACGGTGACCGTACCAGTCGTGCAGCTGCTGTGAGGTGAGAGGCACACGCGGACGAAGGCGGCCACTCCAAGGAGACCGCGCACCAGCAGTCCCAGTACCCTCAGGCGTCTCACCTCCAGACTCAGCACCCCCAGACTCCGCACACACAGGCTCAGCACCCCCAGACACAGCACCCCCAGGCGCAGGACCTCCAGTCTCCTTACGCGTAGGCTCAGCACCCCCAGACTCCGCACCCCCAGACTCAGCACCCCCAGGCTCCTCACGCTCAGGCTCAGCACCCCCAGGCACCTCACGCTCAGGCTCCGCACCCCCAGGCACCTCACGCTCAGGCTCCGCACCCCCAGGCTCAGCACCCCCAGCAGGACCCGGGTCACCAGTGACCTCAACAGGCGCAGGCACGGGAGGGTCTACCTGAGAAACACCTGAAGGAGCAGGACCTGGCGCGGGGAGGGGGTCTACCTGGGGAGGACCTGGAGCGAGAGCGAGCGGCGGCAGGGGGCGAGGGGCAGTGCGGTAGGGAAAGAGACGGTAAAAGGGGACTGACTCGTCAAAGGTGACGTCCTGAGACGCAAAGACACAGCGCGAGGTGGGGTTGTAAAACTGCCAGCGCGTCAGTAGGAAAACCAAGGAAGACGCAGGGAATGGCGCGAGCGGAGAGCTTGTCCGCAGTGGTATCGCGGACAAAGGCACGAGCACCTCAGACCCGGAAACGCGACGCATCGCCAACCTTCCCCGTCCACAGCAGTGTGGGCGAGGTCTCCGGCAAGGAGACACGGGGCTAGAGGTTGAGTTGACGTGCGGCGTACGGGACCGCAAACGGCCACACGTCCAGGTGGAGCGTCTACAGCGGAGCCTCTGTGGGAGGAAACGAGGAGGAGTGAGGAGCGGCACGCTGCCGCCCCTCGACGCAGGGAATGCAGGGCGGCGCAGGCGAGGGAGGGAGGGAAGGCAGATACCTGGGAAGCCTAGAGACCAAGGAGCGAGAGTGCATGCCACGCAGGCGAGGCAGGGAGGGGTGACCAAGGCGGTGGTGCCACAGGAGAGTGTCGTGCGACAGGCGGCGACACTCACACTGGGTAGCTACCTGAGCAGACGCGTATAGCAGACGCGCACGTGTGAACGTGGCCAGGTGGCAACACGTGGGTCAGCTCAGTAACCACAACGGTAGGTGGGCCCGAAAAAAAAACGGTCCTACGGACCTACTGCTCTGAAACCATGTTAGAAACTACAGGCAGGAATGAATGAACTAGATCAGAGTTGGGTACAAATATGAAACCCTAAAGGGGTTGTACCCCATATTGGCTACCTCACTACAGTCCACACAATATTTTACAATATATAGAGTTTGAAACTGTGGAGTGCGGACGCCGGTTCCCGAGGCAAAACGTGATTAAGAGCTGGCTTAGGGGGAACCTGTGCGACGCCAAGCCTGGTGAGCTCATGACGGTGTCTCTTTTGGGCTACGACATGGAGTGGCCCGAGTTGTTGGCTCGGTGGCACAAATCCAAGAAGAGGAGGCCTGCCAAGGATATGCTGCTGGCGGGAGTGGAGAGGGAGAGCAAGCGCAATAGAAAAAGACCAGCAGCAGCAGCAGAGGCAGCAGCAGCAGCAGCAGCAGCTGCTGTGGCAGCGGCAGAGGCAGCAGCACGAGAAGCAGCAGCAATAGCAAAAGCAGCCAGGCTGGATGCAGAGTTCCCCTGGCTCAGTCGCAGGGGGAATGCTAACTACCCTGTTCCAGTGCCGTCTGATAGCCTAGACAGCTCTAGTGATGATGATAGTGGCAGTGAGTCTGACTGAACTCTAGAATGATGTAATGATACCTAGTTTTCATTTTGTAGTTTGTAGAATTAATGTAGTGTAGTGTAGGCTAGGTAGAATAGTTTATCTGGTTTTTCAGACTCGTATTAATGTTTCATCTTAGAGGTCAGAAAAAAAAAAGGCCAATCTGTGCGTAAGACGATTTTTTTTTTTTTACACATACTGTCAGACAAGCCAAAATCCTAGCGAGAGCCCTGCCCGTGTCGCTCTCATACCATGTTGCGATCAAAAGATGATCGCTACCAGGATCTACTCGGGAAGGTTCGCACGCAGGTAGATAGTGTTGGTGGGCCCTTGACCTCAATAGCAGAGTGAATGTAAAATGCTTGAGATGAAATAAAACATGCAAATACAGCGATATAAATAAGAGTACAGGGAATTCGAATCGACCTATCTAACCATGTACTGTAAGGGGTACATTTCCTTATTCAAATTCATTCTCAACCGTGCGGCGCGTATAGTTACAAAAACTGTTCCCGCCAAAACCCTCCTGCCTGCAGCTGCCCGATGCCGTCTGCTCCGACGGTCCAGATGCGCTCCAACCGTGTGACGCTTCGAGTCAACCCTGACTCTTTGCATTCATTCTCGATACTGCATGCTTCAGTAGCTGCGGTCGGGAGTGCACTTTTCATTCATTACTATTCGTAACAGTACCCGTCTCTCTCTTAATTCAATCATTCTTTGCTTCTAGATTGTGACAGAGCTGGTTGGGCACACCGAGGAGCTGGATGAGTTGCGGCATATGTTGAAAGCAGTAAAGGGGGAGTTGGTAGCGGTTAAGGGGGAGTTGAAAGCGGTTAAGGGGCAGTTGGCGAAACTTATGGACTCGAGAGCAGATCAACTGGCTGAGATCAGCAGGGGCATCGGATGAAAGAGGGTTGAGGGGGAAGAGTAGAACGATAAGGAAAAAAGAGACAGCACAGGAGGAGAAGTGGAGGAGGGAGGTGCAGGAGTTGAATCAGCCACGTGCCACAGAGGAACGGCAGCCTGTAATGTCAAACATATATATATGTTAATGTTATTGGTAGGCTGTAGTAGTGTAGATAGTGTGGGTATAACCCCTTAGGTTTTTCCTCTTGTACCAACTCTCTCGATATCAATCTCATCCTTGCCTAAGTCTAAGATGGTATCTAGAGCAATAGGTATTTAGGACCTAAGTTCCGGCCCACCCGTTACTGCGTTACCTCACCTACGGCCTTACCTGCCTTGCCTGCCTGTCTGCATTGCCTGCTGACCGCGCGCGCATCGGCTGCGCGCGCCCGTATTTTTTTTTTAGCGCGCGCTGCTGCTGCCAGCCGAGTCGCGCCCCGTACGTCGCCCGCGCAGCCCGCCCTAAGCCCGCGCAGCCCGCGCGCGGCCCGCAGCTGCCCCGCGCACCGCCCGCGCAGCCCGCGCCGAGCCCGCGCAGCCCGCGCCGAGCCGCGCGCAGCTGTGCGCGCAGCCCGTAGCCGCGCTCAGCCCGCAGCCGCGCGCAGCCACGCGCTGCCCGCAGCTGCGTGCCCTGCCCGTGCGCCGCCCGTCGCCGCTGCGCCCTGCCTTACTTGTGCGCCGCCGCCTCGCCCTGCGCCCTTCGCCGCCCGTATGCCGCGCATTTGCTCTAGCCGCGCGCCGCCCACCTTACGCCTGCCTGCCTTGCGCCTTGCCTGAAGTGCGCCTGCCTGCCTTGCGCCTTGTCTGACGTGCACCTGTCTGCCTTGCGCCTTGCCTGAAGTGCGCCTGCCTGCCTTGCGCCTGCCTGCCTGAAGTGCGCTGCCTGCCTTGCGCCTTGCCTGAAGTGCGCCTGCCTGCCTTGCGCCTGCCTGCCTAAAGTGCGCCTGTCTGCCTAAAGTTCGCCTGCCTGCCTTGCTCCTGCCTGCCTGAAGTGCGCTTGCCCGCCTTACTGCTGCTTACGCCGGCTGCCTTTGCCTGCACCGCGATTATGGCGACGTTCAATGTTCTCGCGTTTGAGCCTGACGGTAGCCCGATCGAGTTCGCCACCTGGCTCGACGACCTCATACTGTTCCTTATGACTGATGCCAATGACAACGTTTCACTATTCGATCACACGTCTGGTGTTTGTTGGTGTAAGGGCCTAATAAACTCAAGCTATTATGACTTAATCAAACTTAAAACCTCTCCTCGGGGTCACCTCCAAGGGTCCCTGGGTGCCTGGTACAAGACCAGCCCCTATCCTCGGGTCCGAGTTTGTAGAGAGAGGGATCAAGAAGAACTTAGTCAAAACAGCAAGAGTACCTTGAACGTCGCGCAGCGTGCCGTGCAGACCGTCGATCGGATTAAGCTGAGAATTCGCTATATCGAAGCTCGCTCCAAGAGCTTTAAAATGAGCCAAGTTGCCTCGCGAAAAGTTCTGCCATTACTAAGTTATGGCTCGGACAGCGTTTGCCTAGCGTTGGAGTGCTAGCATACTAGCGTTGACTCGGGTAGCATTCCGCCGTCAAATAGCGCAGAAACGAAATTCCAGCGAGGAAGGAATTCGCATGAATCAATTTGACTATATTCAGGTACAAACAGAGAAGGATTAAATAATTCCAAGCAACAGAACCAACCTGGCTGGACAAAATAGCAGGTGGTAGGTTGGTAAACAACCTCTGGTTCTGTTTTTCCAACCTGGGAAAACAACAACCAGGTTCAGGTTCTAAAAACAGAACCTGTTTTGTCTTTGCCCAACCAGCCAAATGCTGGTTCCGCTGGTTTCCCCTGGCCTTGTAGCATGCAGATACAGACAAACAACATCCAACCTTCACCTAAATTGTACCCCTATAGTGCCTTCCCTGCTACACTATAGTTAACCAAACAAAACAGTACAATTCCGAGTTGGATAGAACTGAATCTGCGCAATCAACTCAACCGAACTGCAAAGCTTCCATCTTGGGTTCCTTTGCGAGCTCGTCCTTTCTGCTTGCATTGTTCATAGCGCATACAATGTTGTGCCAAAGCGCACATTGCGCGAGTACCTGCAAATGCATCAAGCAAAAAATGCGAAAGCAAACAAACACACGAACACACCATTCACACGCAAATGCATTCGCACACGCATACTCGTACAAACAGACGGCAGGATGTCGTGCAATGTGCATTTGCACCCAACAGTGTTGGTGTAAGGGCCTAATAAACTCAAGCTATTAGGACTTAATCAAACTGAAAACCTCTCCTCGGGGTCACCTCCAAGGGTCCCTGGGTGTCTGGTACAAGACCAGCCCCTATCCTCGGGTCCGAGTTTGTAGAGAGAGGGATCAAGAAGGACTTAGTCAAAACAGCAAGAGTACCTTGAACGTCGCGCAGCGTGCCATGCAGACCGTCGGTCGGATTAAGCTGAGAATTCGCTATATCGAAGCTCGCTCCAAGAGCTTTAAAATGAGCCAAGTTGCCTCGCGAAAAGTTCTGCCATTACTAAGTTATGGCTCGGACAGCGTTTGCCTAGCGTTGGAGTGCTAGCATACTAGCGTTGACTCGGGTAGCATTTCGCCGTCGAATAGCGCAGAAACGAAACTCCAGCGAGGAAGGAATTCGCTTGAATCAATTTTACTATGTTCAGGTACAAACAGAGAAGGATTAAATAGTTCTAGCTAGCAAGGACCTTGGGAATCAACCTGGGAACAACCAGGGATGATCCCAAATAATTCCAAGCAACAGAACCAACCTGGCTGGACAAAATAGCAGGTGGTAGGTTGGTAAACAACCTCTGGTTCTGTTTTTCCAACCTGGGAAAACAACAACCAGGTTCAGGTTCTAAAAACAGAACCTGTTTTGTCTTTGCCCAACCAGCCAAATGCTGGTTCCGCTGGTTTCCCCTGGCCTTGTAGCATGCAGATACAGACAAACAACATCCAACCTTCACCTAAATTGTACCCCTATAGTGCCTTCCCTGCTACACTATAGTTAACCAAACAAAACAGTACAAT